GAAATTCAAGACCAGCTTGAACAAGAGTGAGACTCCATCTCTAAAATCAGCCAGGCATTGTGGCTGGTGTCTGTAGCCCCAGCTACTTGGGAGACAAAGGTAAGAGAAGTTGCTATGAGCTATGATGACAGAGTGCTCTACTGGGGGTGTCAAAGTGAGACTGTGTGAAAAAAAAAAAAAAAAGAAAGGGAAGAAAAGAAAAGAAAGAAGGAAGGAAAGGAAAGGAAAAGGAAAGGAAAGGGAAAAAAAGAAAAGAAAAGAGAAAGAAAGACAGACTAGAATAGGCACATCTGTTGGGTAGATTAGGGGTTGCTTAGGGACTGAAGTGGGAGGTGGAAAGGTGAAGATTAAGGTATAGGAGGGCAATAGCTAAGGAGTATGGGGTTTCTTTTTGAGGTGATAAAATTCTTCTAACATTGTGGTGATGGTTGCACAACCCCATAAACTAAGCACCACTGAATTACACAACTGCATGGTGCAGTGTATGGTAAGGATTATATCTTAATAAAGCTGTTAAAAAAAACTGAAAGGGACGGGAGTGTCCACAGCTACATTAAGTTCTTCAAGGGGTCTTCCTCATAGATTTCCATGAGGGCATCATGGATTTCAATGGTTGGCCACATGGAAGATTATTCTTTAAGCAAAAATTCCTTTGTTTCTCACTTGACAGAGAAACAATTTTACGTAGATCAAAATTTGGACGACATTAAGCCCCAAGCTCAAAGCAACAGAGGACTCGTGAGGGGCTCTTCCTGGCTGCAGGCTGGCCCAGTGCTGCGTCACTCACCAGTCAATGCTGACCAGCTGAAGTCAGCAGCTGTTTGTGGTCAACATAAATTTCATTTGATATTTCTGCTGACTTCAGAAACTTTTCTTTTTTTTGAGACAAAGTCTCACTATGTGGCCCTGGGTAGAGTGCCAAGGCGTCACAGCTCACAGTGACCTCCAACTCTTGGGCTTAAGCAAATCCTCTTGCCTCAGCCTCCCAAGTAGCTGGGACTATAGGCATCTGCCACAACACCCAGCTATTTTTTTGTTGCTGTCATCATTGTTGTTTAGCTGTCCTGGGCCAGGTTCAAACCTGCCATCCTTGGTGCATGTGGCTGACGCTGTAACCACTGTGCTATGGGCACCAAGCCAGACTTCAGAAACTTTTGACAATACAAGTCCCAGAGAAACCAATATGAAATACCAAATCTCCTCCCTATCCCCTTCTAAGTGTGAGTTTGACATTATGATCTTTTTTTCTTCTTTTTTTTTTTGAGACAGGAGCCTCAAGCTGTCCCCCTAGGTAGAATGCCGTGGCATCTCAGCTCACAGCAACCTCCAACTCTTGGGCTCAAGCGAGTCTCCTGCCTCAGCCTCTTAAGTAGCTGGGACCACAGGCACCTTCTACAACGCCTGGCTATTTTTTGGTTGCAGCCATCATTGTTGTTTGGTGGGCCCGGGCTGGATTTGAACCCACCACCTTGGGTGTACATGGCTGGTGTCTTAGCCACTTGAGCCACAGGCCGATCGGCACTGAGCCGATCTTTATTTCTTTAAAAAATCCCTCGAGCAACACATTGCCACTGTGACTGTTAGTCTTTACAGCAGCACTTGCAACCTACCAGTGGTTCTCAACCCTGGCTATGGCTATGAATCTCCTGAGAAGCTTCTAAAAGTTAGCAGAAGCTGGGCTCCCCCTAGACAAATTGAAACCAAATCTCTTTTGGGAGGAAGACCTGGGCATCTGAGTCTTTTAACAGTCCCACAGGTGCTGAGAATCACTGTTTCTAAGCAGCGAGGTAAGGCAGACCCCCCACTAAAAGGAATGTCTATAGGAACTTGGAGTCCTAAATGTAAATTCTCCAGCCAGGGATCCAGGGGGTAAACAATGCTGTATTGATTACAGCTCTGATGAGACATAATCCCTCATCATCTAATCTAATCTCTTTAGTTTTTAGAAGTTCAAATAACACCAAAGATGCAAGAGTCTAGCCAAGGTTTCCTGATTTTGTCCTTGTCCCCAGAAGATTGGGGGGCTTCTTCTGGCAAAAGACCTCTCCCTGACTGTCTCTGGCCCAACCCCAGGAGAGGGCAGCCGCACCAGAGCAATGCGGTGGACTCTGCCTCTCAACTGTGCCTCCTCAAGCGACTCTGAGGCCTTGTGAGTGCTTGATAAACACCAGACCGAGAATGCACAAAATTTGCCACTGCTATCAAAATGTCAGCTGCCCCAAACCAAAATGAGGCAATTGAAATGCTAAACTGGGTGCCTGAAATATTAATTGATTTCATTACTGCAAGCTTCTTCATGAAGACTTTGGAGTAGACTCTGGATAGTGTTTTAAAGGACATTAAAACCTGCTGTGGAAATGCAAACTTTCTTTTTTACACACCCTCCAGCTCTCCTCTTTCATACCCTGTCCCAAAGAGGCAAAGTCAGACATGCAGGCACTAAATGCTGTCATACCAGAAATTCCATACTGCAGAGCCCATGGAATACACAACCTGTGATTTGTTTCCAAAGCAGGAGACTCAGAGAAGCAAAAACCTGTGCAGAACACGCAGAGCATGTGTGAGAAATCCGGAGAGCAGGCCTATGTCGGCAGGCAGATGTCAGAGCTGAGATGCAGTCCCAGAGCCTGCTATGCTGGACTTTGCTCAGAGGGTGCCTTTTCCTAGTCCAGACAAGGCTCAGAGACAAAAAAGAGGATTGATGGCCAAGGCCACACTGTTAGAGAATGAAGACATGGGGAGGAAGGTTCAGTTTTCTGATCCAGTGTTTCCCCCCAAATATCAATCCATTTCTTTCTTATGTTCGATGTTTTCACTATGTTTTATTATATAGTTATATATATATATATATATCATATCACCCTCAGCACTAGGTGATGGATCCCCCTTTAGTGTCCTCCCGCCAGAGAGAACAGGACACGCAATAGATGCAAAGGATGTGGTGACCCTACAACTGGGAGCCCCTGGAATCCTGCCCAGACACTGCTCTTCTCAGGTCTCGTCTCCACCTTGGGAATCCCATGCAGCCAGCGAGCTCATTCAGTGACATAGGCAACACAGTTACTTTAGAGGGAACACAGGAAGTCTTATCCCTCAAGTTTGAATCTCCATGGGGCCTCCGTGATGCCTGTGTGTGGCAGGTTAAGAGGCTTTCTAGACTAAACCTGACTGCAAGGCTGAGTGAGCAGAAGGGGCCTGCAAGCTGGTTGCCCATGTCTTGGAGTGCACCCCAGAGAATTTCTTGAAGAGCAGCTTCATCTACTCACTGTTCACCACCCCTTTTATAGAGCAGTTAATCTTCCCCAAGAACTGCTGGCCACAGGCTCACAGCTTAGTGCTAATGTGATAGCAGCTCACCTGGAAGGCAGGTGTGTGGTCCATCTGCCTCCAGAGATCCTGAAACTCTCTCTATCCCTGTGCTTTTCCAAGGGCAGCACATTCTCATCAGTCCTTTGGTCCTTTCCTTATTGGACATAGTCATTCTCAACCCGGGAGGGGAGAGGCAGGGAGCACACCCTGAGGGTACTGTAGGAGTAGGGGTGGGCCCTGGGGGGCTTTTTAAAAGCTAAGCCTCAGGGGTGCACCTTGCCCCTCACTGATCTGGAAGTGGGCCCAGACTATGTAGCAGGACTTCAGAGGTACAGAAGAGGAGCTGTGTAATTCACTTCCTAGACCCCAGAAGGAAGCAGGGCACCAAGGTGCCCCAGGACAGAGGTAGCTGGCTCTTCCTGCGTAGGGCCCACAGACAGGGGCAAGAGGAAAAAGTGTTAGCATGGGCCCAAGAGGCCAGTGAAGAAGAAGAGCAGGATAGGGAGTAGCTACTGACACCCTGGTGGCAGTGCCCCTAGGCCAGCAGCCCAGAGACCAACACTCACCCTCCAGCTTATTTAGTAAAGAAGCACCAGGCTTGCCCTAGGGCTAGAGATTCAACAGTGGGCAGACACACCAGAGCCCTGTGGTCCTGGGAGAACATTCCAGTGGAGGAGAATAACCATATACACCACCACTCCAGCAGCCCCTCCCCCCAGGTGAGGCTCTCCCAGAAGGCTCTATTTCCTCACCCAGTAGGAGGAGGTCCCCTACCTGAGCCCAGAGACCTCTCTGGTCCAAGTGGATGCTAGATTGAGTTCTATCTACACTCCCAAGGGCAAGGGTATCCCTGCCAGAAAGTGGAGCTGGGGTGGAAGAAAGGATGCCAGGGTCTGGCCTTGACAGGGCCTGGACAGGGAAGAAACCACAGTGCTTGGATGTTAATAATTACTTTATTCAGCCTACCTCAGACTCCTCAAGCAATCTTCCTGCTTTAGCCTCCTGGGTTGCTGAGAACGCAGGTATCTGCCACAATACCAGGCTAATTTTTCTTCTTCTTTTTTTTTGAGATATTGGGGGGGGGTAGTTTCACTCTTGCTTAGGCTGGTCTTGAACTCTTGAGCTGAAGTGATCCTCCCACCTCGGCCTCCCACAGTACTAGGATTATAGGTGTGAACCATAGTGCCCAGCCTGACTAAGTACTTTCTATTAATTCCAGTAAATGTATAAAAAATTGAACAGATGAAGAATTAATTTCCCCAAATTGTCCAGTAAACATATAGAAAGATCTAAAGATAGGATAAATCAAATCACTATTCTGGGTGACTACATTGCATTTGGCAAACGTTTATGAATGTGCCATTTCAAAATTACTAAAAAATGATTTCAATATCTAGGAATGACAAGGTATTTGTAAAATCTTGCATATATTCATGTGAGGTTTTCATGAATATTCTTTAGTGCTTATTCTCCTATTATGCCCACACATAAAGCCATAACTTGGATGTTTGTCCCTTAAACTTAGTGTTGAAATTTGATCCCCAAAGTTGAAGGTGGGGCCTAGTAGGAGGAGTTTGGGTCACAGAGGTGGATCCCTCATGAATGGATTAGTGCCCTCCCTAACCCATTCAGTTCCTGTCTGAGCTGGTTGTTAAAAGGAGCTGAGCATGCAGCTCCATTACCAAGAACTCATGGCACCCAGTACCTGCACTCCGGAGGAGCCCAAGCCAAAGAGAGGAAGAAGATCACAGACGCATAAAAGAACCACCACCCACACTTGTTTTTACGCGGGCTGCGGCAAAACCTATACAAAGAGTTCACATTTCAAGGCACATCTGCGAACCCACACAGGTGAGAAACCCTACCACTGTGACTGGGATGGCTGTGGGTGGAAATTCACCCGGTCCAATGAACTGACCAGGCACTACCGCAAACACACCGGGCAACGCCCGTTCCAGTGCCAGAAGTGCGACCGTGCATTTTCTAGGTCGGACCACCTCGCCTTACACATGAAGAAGCACATTTAAGTCTCAAACAATGGGTATGACCCACACTGCCAGAAGAGAATTCAGTATTTTATATCTTTCACCTTATCTTCCCAAGGAGGAAGGGAAGAGTCCTGCGAGAAAGCACGACAATCATGGTCAAGTTCCCTGCTGGCTCACCTTGGGAATGAATGGTCAAGAAACATGAGGAAGCCAAAAGTCAAAAATCAAAGAACAGATTGGGTCTGTGACTGGATTTTCTATCATTCCAACTCTAAATCCAACTTGAATATTCCTGGACTTAACGAAATGCCAAGGGGGTGACTGTAAGTTGTGGCTATCAGGGTATAAATTAGATCTGTGAGCCAGGGGAGGGAAAGATCAGAATTCCCTTGAATTGTGTTTTGATGAAATATAAGCATTAAGATCACCTTGTATTTTTTGTTACATTATTATTATGATGCTAGAAGAAAAATCAGGTACTGAAAATGTGTTCTAATAGCTTAAAAATTGATGGTGTTTGGCTAGGCACCCATATCTCAGTGGTTAGGGCTCTGGCCACATACACAGAGGCAGTTGGGTTCGAACCCACTCAGGCCTGCTAAACAACTATGACAACTGCAACAAAAAAATAGCATTGTGGCAGGCACTGGTAGTCCCAGCTACTAGGAGTCTGAGGCAAGAGAATTGCTTTAACCCAAGAGTTTGAGGTTGCTATGAGCTGTGATGCCACAGCACTCTACCAAGGTTTGCATAGTGACATTCTATCTCAAAAAAAAAAAAAAATTGATGGTGTTTGGTGAGTCTTGGTTCTAAAGGTACCGAACCAGGAAGCCAAGTTGTCAAACTGCTGCATACTTTGACAAGGAAAATCTATTTTTGTCTTCTGATCTACATTTATGACCCAGGTCAGATAAATATACCTGGTTTACTTTAATGTTTTTATGCAGTCTGTTATGCACTGTGGTTTCAAATGTGCAATAATTGGTACGATGGTTTATTCCCAAGTATGCCTTAAACAGAACAAATTTTTTATGTATATATAATTCTTTGCCTTAAAAAATATGTGATATAAATTTTTTTTTTTTTTAAAGAGCTGGGTACCTCCATCACCTCTCTCTTTTGCTTCCTTTCTCACCCTGTGATCTCTGAACACCCTGGCTCCTATTCACCATCCACCATGAGTAGAAGCAGCCTGAGGCTTTTACCAGTTACTTAACTCTTCAGCCAGCAGAATCATGAAAACTTTTTTCTTTAAAAATTACCCAGTCTGGGTGGTGACTGTGGCTCAAAGGAGTAGGGCACTGGCCCCATAAGCTGGAGGGTATGGGTTCAAACCCAGCCCCGGCTAAAAACTGCAAAAAAAAAAAAAAAATTACCCAGTCTTAGGTATTCCTTTATTGCAACACAAACAAACCAGGATAGAAGATAAGTATTCTCAGCAATACAGCACAAATAATATAATTGTGTCTTAGTCTTGATTTCTTTCTATATAAAACATGATTCACAGAGTGCCACGAGCTTCTCAATAATATTACTAAAAAATTATTAAGAAAACAGTCATTGGGCAGTGCCTGTGGCTCAGTGAGTAGGGCACTGGCCCCATATACTGAGGGGTGGCAGGTTCGAACCCAGCCCCAGCCAAACTACAACAAAAAGAAAAAAGAGCCGAGTGTTGTGGTGAGTGCCTGTAGTCCCAGCTACTTGGGAAGCTTGAGGCAATAAAATAGCCTACGCCCAAGAGCTGGCAGTTGCTGTGAGCTGTGATGCCACTGCACTCTACCAAGGGTGACAAAATGAGACTCTGTCTCAAAAAAAAAAGAAAAAGAAAAGAAAAGAGTCATTATCTTATCAGCACATAAGATAATAAAATATAATAGTTTTAGTAGCTAAGTGAATCTAACAAGTACAAAAATGAATATTTTATCACCTTGTAAGTTAGTCCCAAATTAAAAATAGACATGCATGGCTTCATGGCTATAACAAAAAACACATCATCTAAATTAATTTTGAAGTATACAGTTAATTTTGCTTTGAAAACAATCAAATCAGGGCCAGGCGAAGTGTCTCACTCCTGTAATCCTAGCACCCTGTGAGGCTGAGGTGGGCGGATTGCCTGAGCTCACTGGTTCAAGACCTGCCTGAGCTCACTGGTTTGAGACCAGCCTGAGCAAGAGCAAGATCCTGTCTCTAAAAATTAACCTGGCATTGTGGCAGGCGCCTGTAGTCCCAGATACTCAGAAGGTTGAGGTAAGAGAATCACTAGAGCCCAAGAGTCTGAGGTTGCTGGGAGCTATGACTCCACAGCACTCTACCAAGGACAACAAAGTAAAACTCTGTCTCAAAACCCCCCAAAATGATCAAATCAATGAATCTAAAGAAATTTTGTTAATTATTCCTGGCGTTTAAGGACTATTGTATACTAAAAGACCATTAATATTAACGGCACACTAAGTTTTTGGTTTCGTAGTAACCTGAATTTACTGTTTATGGTAAACTAATTTTTCTTCCTTGAATTCTCTGCCCAGTTGTTTAATGTTATGGTAGACTACCATGGCCTTATATTTCTAATCAAATGACTTCTCACAGGATCCTAAATTTTATCTAAACTTAAGTTGAAGGAGATTGTGGAAAAAAATAAGGCTAAAGGAATTGTTAACTTTTACATCTCTTTAAGAGGATCTGTCCCACAAATTCTCTTCTACATCTAAGCCAAATGAACAACACTAATCAATAGAATTTCAATGAGCTAATTACAAGTTTCCAGTCCATGAAAAGTAAAATATTTTGTTTTTTAATTTTCTTTCTTTCTTTTTTTTTTTTTTTGAGACAGAGTCTCACTATGTCACTCTCAGTAGAGTGCTGTGGCATCACAGCTTACAGCAACCTGAAACTCTTGGGCTTACGTGATTCTCTTTCCTCAGCCTCCCAGGTAGCTGGCACTACAGGTACCCACCACAATGCTTGGCTTTTTTTTTGTTGTTGCAGTTGTCATTGTTGTTTAGCTAGCCTGAGCCAGGTTGGAACCTGCCACCCTTGGTGCATGTGGCTGGGGCCGAGCCTGTTTTTTAATTGTCTAAGTGTAAAAATAAGTTACCTTTAGTGGAGTATTCATATTGTAACTTACAGTAGTATTACATAACTCCACAATTCTCTATACAACAGAGAATGAGAGAATGGGACTCAATTTGAATTCTGTATCCCAAATTTAAAAAGCTAGTTAAAAATAAATTTAGCCTTAGTAATAAAACGGAGAGGAAACCATATGCTGCCTGAGACACCCTTACAACATTTAACATTTGTCAAAATGTTTACATTCTCTTCATATTTCTATTAATTGCATTATGCCTTCTATTTATCATGCAAGTCAATAGATCTGTTCCAGAGAAGTATACAAGTCCAATTTTGAAATTAACAGCAATATGAGTTTCCTTCAACAGAGAGCAGAGCGAGTTAGGTTTTGTACAGCCAGCATTCAGAGACACTGAATCAAACCTCAGCAGTGGAGCACACTGGCTGATGCTCTGATTGCTGGTGTATGCAGCTTCACCTGGCAATGAATAAGTTTGTCTTTACTATTAGCTGAAACAAAGAAGATCGCTTTGCAAAATCATCAAGTATTTGTGAAGAATACTTTCCAATGATGGTAAATGACCTCTATATTGTCCCCCAAAGTATTAACATGCTTTACATACAAGGTAACAAATTTAAGGACAAGTAGATGAGCAAGGGCATTTTTGAAAAACAGTTCCAATAGTTGCAAGATTAGAAAGTTACAGAAATAATTACAATTATTATTTAATATGATAGTATCCTTTTTTTTCTGAGACAGAGCCTTAAGCTATCCCCCTGGGTAGAGTGCCATGGCATCACAGCTCACAGCAACCTCCAACTCCTAGCTCAAGCAAGTCTCCTGCCTCGGCCTCCCAAGTAACTGGAACCACAGGCACCCACCACAATGCCCAGCTATTTTTTGGTTGCAGCCTTCATTGTTGTTTTGGCGGGCCCGGGCTGGATTCGAACCTGACACCCTAGGTGTATGTGGCTGGCGCCTTAGCCACCTGAGCCATAGGTGCCAAGCCTTCCTCCCCCACCCCAGGTATTTTTGTTGTTGTTGTTGCAGCTTGGCTGGGGCTGGGTTTGAACCCTCCGCCCTTTGGTATATGGGGCCGGCACCCTACTCGCTGAACCACAGGCACTGCCCAATAGTATTATTCTTTAAAAATTTAGCCTAATGAACCTTAGGGTTGATTGGAACTTGATTTTTACCTACTAAGTGACATAATGCAATATGTCTAAAGGACAATGCACATGTTGTGTTGAATATATTTTCTCTTATTCACAATAAAATCTATTTCATAGCACATCACATAATTTGTTAGCTTATTTCAGCTAAAATTTCCATCATATACATGTCCATTTTAAATGTCTATTTGGTTAATAATGAGAACTGCAATTATTCAAAACTTAATTAAATCGGCTGGGCACAATGACTCACGCCTGTCACTTTGGGAGGCCAAGGCGGGTGGATTGCTTGAGCACATGAGTTTGGACCAGCCTGAGCAAAACTGAGACCCTGTCTCTACTTAAAATAGAAAAACTGAGGCAAGAGGATTGCTTGAGCCCGAGTTGGAGGTTGCTGTGAGCTATGTAGCCATGCACTCTACCCAGGGCTATAGCTTGAGACTCTGTCTCAAAAAAAAAAAAGACCTTAATAAAATAAAAACTCAAACATATCAAGAGATTTTTTTTCTCACTCTTCTCTATCTCTAAAGAATTTATTTTAGATCTATTATAAATTGTAAACTTTCAGTATGAGAGATTTTGAGTTTGTGTTTAAATCATACAAAGTCAGAAATAGTACCCTAGAGTATATGATATTCTAGTTGGTGCTGAAGACATGCTAAGTTAATATTGCTACAATGTGAAAGGCTCTTTTCTTTCCCTTCTTTTTTTTTTTTTTTTATTATTCTTTGGTATTCTTTGAGGGTGCAAAGAATTAGTTTACACTGTTTGCATTTGGTAGGTAAAGTCTGTCTCATAAGTGTGTCCCGCGACCAAGATGTGTGCCATACACCGTGACCTCCCCTCTCCCTGCTCCTTCATTGTATTAGATCATCTACTATTGAAAGGCTCTTTTCTAACTGAATTCTCATCATGTAGTATATAAAGCACAACCTTAGAAGATTACATAAATGAATGATACTCTTTCAGAATCCAGAGAAAATAAGACACTTAGGTATTTTAGGTTATGCTCACAGCTGAAAACAGTAATATGTTGGGGTTCTGTAACCCTGAGCTTGGGGTTCCT